TGGTTTTCTTCTCCCTATTGCAGCGGCCTCCACAAATCGTAGCGGACGCCCAGTCGTCCCCCGAATTACGACCTTAAATGCAGTCTTTTGGTCGACCGTATGGCCAGTGTCCTCTAGGCGCTTCGTGACTGAACTCTTAAGTATTATATTTTACACCCTGAACAACTACTTCGACATATGTTGGGCTGACCGCGCTGCCAATTGCCTTTGTGTGCGCCCGATGTATTTGCATCCGCAACTACATGCAAATTCGTACACACAGTTTGATAGGGCGCGCATAGGCAGAATGTCTTTAGTCGGTTTAAATAGACTAGCTGACATTGTGTTTATGAACAATAATTTAGAGGTGTGGAAAGTTCTTTGAATCGTCGACGAAGGCTTCGTTTTATCACGTTGGATACATTATCATCCTTGAAAGGGAGGAAAATTCTCACTGGCGTTATTTGACATCAATAAATTCTGCTAATCTCGTGACCTTCGCCTTATTCAAATTGTCAAAAGTGTGTGAAGTTTATTAAATCCTCGGCTTCAAATGTAGCAAACATTGCTTGACCCCAACGACCCAGCATACTAGCTTTTACTTATTCACGCTTGAAGCTTGTGCTGCTGGCCAATAAAAACCGGCTAAGGAAACTTGACTGTGGAGGCTGATGTTGTCCGACCGATGACCGATCGATAAACCACCAGCGAGATTTTGAATTCCGTTTCAGTGCACTGCTTTCACCTCGGTACAGCCCCACGAAGGTAGAAAAGGAGGCGGCAGCCGATATCCTTGCCACCGAGACCGAAAATGCGACCAAAGGTGCCAGCATCACGCAAACAGGTGGAGGCCCCTGACGCAGACAAATCCGATGATTCCATAAAAGTCGGGGATATCCGTGCGAGCAAGCGACTGAGCCAGGTAATGCAACTTCTGCTGAAAGTGAGGAAGAAACACCTGGAGGCCGGTGAACAGCCAATCGAGCGAAATAAATTCATAATAGCACCAGATGGTAAGTTAACCTAGCTTTTGTGTTAACGTGAGTGAGGTCAGCCCGGTAAATTAGCTACAATAGACGCGCTTTTGGCAAAAGTAGCTTATATAGACCCACTCGTATACCCTTAGTCCCAGCATCTTGTCCTACAAAAACGGTGGTTATAGAGTTTTGGGGGCTGGTGGAATAGGATAGGCAGAGAAGGAAATTTTTAGAAGTAAGTGTGAAGTGAAAAAAATGTAGTCGAAGTTACTTCCCGCGGCCACTGAGAGTAAGTTGTTCCGCATGTAAATTGAAGGTGTGTGCGGCGCGGGCTACACTAATCTAACTCCAGAACGGTAAGTTGGACCACAGGTAAGT